ATATTCGATGTATAGGCCGCAAGTGATATAATTACACTCGAACCGGTTTTTCGGTTTGTATAACTTAAGCAATACGTTTTTTTTAATAATATCACTTTTCTGAAGAAGAATTCAATCTCATTTATGTGTGGAAGTAACTGATAAAAAGCTTAAAATGTATGTATTAATAATAGTACCTATTACAGAATTGTTGATTAATACGAATGCAGGTTTTTACTAATACGAAAGATTTCAATTTAAAAAAAGTATAAAACTATGAACCATCATATTTTAACCACCTTAAACCGCCGATATTAATAAAAAGTACATTTTTAGTATACAATTTTAAATCATGTATAATGATGGTTAATCAAAATAATGCCACTTACTACACTGAGATTTCCAATGATTTTTAGATTGGTATAGTGGATTATTTTCATGATTAGATCATTTTTACAATATACTCATGCCGGTACTAAACAATACTCCAACGCACTAGTATAATTATTATGATAATTAGACCCAAAAAACAAAAGTCAACTCCAATTTCTACTGTTTTCCTTTGTATATTGCTTACTCAACCTATTAAAATTACTGATATATTATATACAATCACTATACGGGCTTTCCACAAAATAATTCGTTCAATTTTCAATTAGGACATTAAAACATTAAAACAAAAAAAATCGTCTACTTAATAATTAACAGAGAATACGGTGACACTAATTTGAAAAAAAGAATTTGGTATCGCCATGGGATACTCTTTTAATTGTATACACAATTTAAGTGTTACAAAATATGATGTCCTTGGGGTATTTTTAAAAGTTCAAAAACCAAAATTTCATTTAATTCATTATCTAATAAAGGAAAATGGTGGTGATCATGTTTAGTTACTGATATCACCCTATATTCCTTGTTTTATTTCAGAGTTAATGCAATAAACATTTACAATTATGAACATAATATATCCTATCAAACATTATTTAATAATATGTCAAGAAGACTTTACTGAAGATAAAATGAAAAGGTCACATGCAATTTTTAATACAAATATTATCTTGAAAATATCATTTAATATTTGTTATGATATTTCTATAAGACTATCCAACTCAGAGTTGTATTTTTAAACTTAAATATATTTAACACACATGCTATTGAATGTAATACATTTTTTTCAATAATGTTATATGTAAATATAACTAATATAATGTATATACTGTTTTATTATTATAAAATCTTGTAAAAATGATGTGGAAAACCACAGAATGTTAAGAAGTTGTCTGTATTAAAAGTTAATTACAACAAACCAGGAAGAATTATATTTGTTATTAATTTCACTACATAATGTGTATAGTACATTAATTCATTCATCATTGTTTGAATTATTTTGGCCGGACACTAGAATTTTTTAATTTTAATATTATGTACATTAATTTTAATTAATTAATTAGAGTTACATCATTTTTCATGTATACCTACGTGATATTTAAGGAACTCGCATAATGCACTACTAAAATATATTCATTAACAGTTGACAGTTAACAGTTGACACACATACATGATTTAACTATATCTAGAGTAGACTATATTTACCTACAATATTAATAAGTGTGGAAAAGTTTGTAAATACCATCGTATTTAAAAACCAATTGAATACAAAATTAACTAGAAAAAAAAGCAAAATATATGATCAATTAAAAAGATTTCATTAACATTTTAATTTGAAAATAAAAATGAAGGATACTCAGAAAATTATGCTTATTTGGATATAAGTACTCTGATATTTATTTGATATTTTTCAACATTGAAATTCTTTTCCAATTAATTCCACGTATAATATATTATTGTTTTATATTAAAACTATAGGTATTCTCAATCCTCAAAAGCCAAGAAAAAAATGTATATAATGCATTATGCACCTGTGATGATATTATTTTTGGTCTAAAACAATACTTCACAGAATAAGGATTTATAAAACCTATATAATTCATTGGTTTTTTTTTAATACCAACCTAAATGGAGAACAACTTTCAAGTGGTAAAGCTATTAACAACACAATTTTTTGATAGTATTTAATATAAAATATAATTAAAAATACTAATTATAATGTTTCTTTGACGTCATTTTATTCTACAAAACCTTAGTGAACAGTATAATACATCATATACACTGATAAATTAAATTAAAAAAACGGTAAGAAAATAAAAAATAATATTCAACTATTATAATGATATTATAATTATTTTGTACTTGTATATCACTTGCTAAGATAAAAAAAATGCATTATACCAGGTAATATAAATAAATAATATATATATATATATAATTGAATAGGTACAACAAATTGAGATACAATATATATTATTATTATTAGAATAAAACCCTCGGAAAAAAATATTTAATTATTGCTTACTCTTTTGTGTTCCCATACAATATATAAGGTACGTATTAGATACTAATGTATTAAAATATTATTCATCTGGTGGTCGGTTTGTATTGTGAACCACTCAAAAATAATAATGTACTATTAATATACAAACGCCACCAGGTGGCATTGATGATTGCTAAAATAATGTTCGGTGAAAAAATAGCAGACACCAGGCACCCCCAGGTGATACAATATCAAATGGAATTATATTATTAAACTTAATTTATTTTTAGCTTCTAGTATGATAACTATGATAGCTCTACTATTATATTTATGTAAAATATGGTTGATTGTCCAAATCTACCAGAAAATTCTAGAACATTAAGTTTGAATTAAATTTTAATCCTATGCAGGCGCAGGTTGTGTATTAGACTTTTGTTTCCTATTCCCAATTTGTTATATAAAAAAGCACACAGTATTATGAAATTGTAAAACAATATTAAATTTATCGGTCAGCTCATAACTCAACATGATGATACATTTTTTGCTCCCCTTAAAATGTGTATAAATACATAAATGTGTATAATTCAAAAATATTTTACCAATACTTTTATAGTTGTTTGCTTTAATATCTACAACAGACGAACATTTTAAATTTAACTGTCAGTTTACTTTACTAACCGACAAGATGGTATAACGTCAATATCACTCTACTGCGTGAAAAACAAATAACGCAATACAAAAGCCAAACAACAATAAATAATAAAATATCTACTTAAAATAATTAAATTATTATTAATTCGTATTATTTTATGAATAAAATGGCCGTTATTTAATAGTTATCGTGTTATTTAATTTATTCCATTAATAATAAATAATAATAAACATTTTACTCGGTTTCGATGAATAGGAATAATTAACAGATATGTACTTAATTGTACATTTATAGTTTTAAACAATTATTTGATTACATTTTTGAGTCACCAAAGTTGTATTATATCTGCAGATAAAAGCCGAAAATTTGAAACAACGAATATATAATGTTCCAGAAAAATTGATAATTTATTTATATCATCGCATTATTAAATTTTTCCACTATAACAAATAGTATATAGTACCAATTCCCCACAATAGTTATAATGGTATTCTATTTTGTAAAAATAATTAAGGTTTAAATGTAAAATTGTTTTAATGCATTTGTACACAAGAATTGAAATCACTTGTTTTATCATTAAGAACTATAATAAATTATGTGAAGTAATTATTACAAAATAATAAACATTTATTATGTGCACTACAATGGTTTTTAATTAAATTCTTTAAATGATAGCCGTTGTCTATTTTATGAACTCACTTTTTAATAAATACGAGTAATTTACATTTCGCTTAAATACCCTATTGGTTTAACTAATTAAGTATATTATTTTTATTATTTAAGAGAATGTCAACGCAATTGGTTTTCTCTCTCAAACTCGCGCACAACACAGATAAAACGTATGCATGTAAAATGACTTTATAATTGTTGAGTAATCTTATTTACTAATCATGTATTACAATACAATTTAATAATGATATTGCTTAACATGATGTTTTATGTGAGAATCACTGCAAGTAATATAGATCGTTCGTTTTGACAAGTACCCTATATCCACACACTTATGCTCAATTTGTAAAAAAAAAATGTATAAATTAATCAAATTATTGAAACATATAACACAAAATAGTAAGTAATTTTAAATGTAAATTATATTATGTGTTTGTTCATTTTATTAAAATCAATAAACATCATTCAAAACAACAAGAAGAAAAAAATGTAATATATTGTGAGAATGTGACGAAATAATAACAATAAAAGAAAAATACAAAAATGAAAGTTTACACAAAGTGATTGATGGATGTGTTTGGTCCTCCTACAACCTGTTGCGTTAGGCATGTCATTCCCTATAAACGTACCTAAATGTGATGTTATATGGTTTTTATATCACCGTGAGTATTATAATATTAAATATATCTTGATATTAAATCGACAGCAATGTTCACGTTTCAGTGTATGGAGGCTTCCTAACTCATGCAGTGTTAAAAATAATTTTTTAAGTTTTAACTTAGCCAAAAAAGTGAATATTATGCAAATATTGGCACGTATGTGGCTGTGCTGTTTGTCCACTATAAAATATAATATCTGCCAGTTTTTTTAATTTAGTGGACAGTAGTTTTCAGAAATTTTTGTCGCCTTGGAGGGTGACGAGAGAAAAAAATACGACACGCATGGGAAATTAGATTTCCATGTATTATTTTTCTCGTTGGTCAAAAACTGTCTTTTTATTTTTACAACAATCGGGACGTTTTGTGGAAAACGATTCTGACGTTTTTTTGTTACTTTTCCACATATACACCCCCTCGCAGAAAGCATTCGCTTCGAAATTTCAGACAATGGTGAAAAAATAGAAGAAAACACCATTGTTCATGATATCGAGATAGGGTTGGTACAATAATAATACGCATTACGCGAAAATTGAAAAACTCAGATATTTTATGAGCTTGAACGCCATAAAAATGCGTTAATATAATATATATATATATATTTATCTTATGAATTCCGTTCACCGCCTTATCTATTTTCTACAGTTTTTTTTTCTAGTAGGTACCTACTCACCACCATCTGATATATAGCGTCTACTATGTTGTACATCTCGTCTCGGGTTATGAAACCATCGTTGTCGACATCGTACAGACGAAACGCCCCTGAAATAAATAAAAAAAACTTTATTTTAACATGTTTAATTTGCACAAATACCTTTACAAAATAATTTGAAATTATTTCACGATCTTGCAATATTATTACTATCATTTTTTATAACTGTAGACTATTTGAATAAAGTTGTCTATATATACTAAATGTATAGGCTATATAGAACCCGAGACCGAAAGACACGTGGCTCGGGACGATATTGTTTCTGTTTTAATTTTCGAGAGTACGGTTATTGTTATAATATGCCATACACATCACAGAAGAAACTCTGATTTAATCGAAAATCGATTCAACTACAATATTTCGTCTAGCACTCCGTGCGTCAGATAAAATATTCGTTTTGTTTCGCAGTGTATTTTATTAAAGTAATGTTGTCGTACGTCTTTGATGTGCTTTGATTATTTGACAAAACCGTACGAGGAGATTAGAATTTATAACGTCCGTGCTAGTCACGGGTCTGCGGTGTAAGTGGACTATAAAATGCGGTAGAAACCTTCAGTACGATATAAATATTACTTCATGAATATTAAGTATTACTACAGAAATGTTTTGTATTATTATATACGTCCTAGGAAAACAAAGAAAATACCATTATTTAAAATATTAATCTTCAAACTGTAAATTATTGTAATACAGTCATGAACACATAAGCTCACAGCACGTGTTGTATACGATCCCCGCGAAATCACAATAAAATAAATGCGACGGTTCTCTTTAATCATTTGATGCGTACAATACAACAGTCATCGTAACATTAGCAGAGCGTTATTGCAGCAGTCGTTACATAATAAAACTTGCAAGTTATATTGCAGTTATACATTGTACTCCGTACAGGTTTATGCAATCGATACATAATAATATTATAGGTATTAATAATAATTACGAGAGTAATGAATGGACGGAAAAATGTTGTATTCGTGTTTAAAGTAAGCGTTTTCCCCGTAGTCTATATTTTGCAATGATATTATTATTTATATTATATTTCCTATACCAACACCACATAATATTTGAATTACAACCTTGTACCTATTAAAACAGTCGATTTTTTTAGGTACGTTTAATGTACTGAACGAAATCAATAATTTTTCATTACCGAATTTTCACAGATTTATTTTACTCTATTTTTTTGTTATATAATTTACTAACTAAGTATAGTTCCCTCCCCTATAGTTAACAATCTACTAAAAATAACCACCCAATTACCTATGCTGCCGTGGGTTAATTTATGAAAAAATAATAATACATTATCAAGGGTACACTAATTTAAGCAACTACCTATAGTAATAATAATAATACACCGTAATAATAGTTGTATATTTTACCAAAAAAAATAAAAATATTTTAAAGGTATTGTTTAATGTTTAATTATTTTTTAAATGGCTTTTGCAAAAATGATAATTTTTTTTCAACAATTCAATATTAGAGAGCTTGTTATACGGCATGTCATGTTGTTTAAATTCCAATATGGTAACCTACCCGGGGACAAGCTACTAATAATAACAGAATTGATAATCAACTATTGTGTATCCAGTATCAAATGAGTTAATTAAGAATAATAATTGTATGTACTTATTAAAAAAAAATGTAAAAACCGATGTTAATTCGTATTAAGCTAACAAAACTATAATACTTAAGAACATATTTAAAAAAAAAATGTAAGTTCAGCTTACACAACAAAAACTGAACAAAACTCTTCTAATACCGTAAAAAAACCATCAACAAGTATTATGTTAAACCAATTCAATTAATATAATTATATTTCCCCAAGTAATTTATTCAACTTGTACTGTTTTATAAGACAAAATGCTTCTAATCTATAGTTTTTGTCGACATTTTTATAAGTTCAACTGATGTCTTTGGTATTTAAATCATAATTTTAGTAAGTTTTTAAAACGAGATCTCAAGAAATATTCTTCTAGGTGTCCTCAATTGTATTTTATCTTTCGTTTTCATCGATTAATAGATATTCTTTTTTCACATCACTGTTGTGTAGTTAAATGATATTAGCGACAGACAACGAAATTATATAACACTAGGTAAAGCATTGTTCAATTATTATAAGTAATTGAGATGTAGTTGAGTCTATAATATCGCAGATTAGGTGAGAACTTCGACTTATTGTAATGCAAGTCGTTATTTATTTCAATAAATAGTTACGCGTGTTATTATAATATATTACAGCAAAGACTCGAATCATGATTATGCTGTAAAAAAATGTGCCATAAACCTCAAAAAACGTGAGATAGTTATTTTTATAGTTTAAATTTAGCATTTAATTTATGTATATTACGGTTGAATACTATTATACCTCCTTAATAAAACTACGCCCTACCCGGTTGCTTTGTTTACCACGTCCTAAACCCGTCCTTGGTAACGAACCGAATCCTCCTAATACGCAATATTCATTGCCAAGGAGACTATTTTACATAATATGTACCAGTTTTAATGTACGAACGCATAGTACCTACCGTATCTTGATAAATATATACAATGATTTTTTTTTTATTTATAGGTAGGTACGTTAATTTTTGGTATTATATACAGCGTGTTTCATTTTGAAGTTAATACGTCATCATATGTTCTGTGTAGGTATATTATAACCTTGAATTGAGTTCGGTTTTATATGTGTGCAGGTTTTTACACATTTTAAGTTAATTTTACATTTTTAGAAGTTATAAATAATGTATAGATTTATTGTTTTATGAAACCCAAGTACCATATTATGATATAAAATATAATCGGGATACATTAAAAGTTTTGATCATCCATTGCATCGTTTTATTAGTTAGAGGGTGATTAAAATCCTCAGTGCTTGGCGTACTTACTATAAGTTCAATATTTTTTTTTAATTACTTTTTTCTAGTTCGTAAATATAATATCATATTTTCCTTATTATTATACCTGCTCAAAACTATAAAAAAAATTATACGCCATTATATTAAATTTGATAAATAATGAATTTCAAAAGGAACAAGTACGGTGGTGTCATACATTTATTGTAGAATTAATACCATTTTTTGGAATAAAAAAAAAAAAATAGGATTCCAAATAGCGTGGGAACGATAAAGTAAAATAAATATATTTTTTTGTTATCAAAATACATCTAACTATAGTATTATATTGTTGATAAAATATGCTGTATTCATCAATAGAGCATTTTAGAAAGTGTAACTTCTGACTACATACTGTTATAAGCCCTGGTATGGAGTGTGAAATATTATAAATTATTGTATTTTAACAAAATGCGAAAAAAAAAAAGGAAAATAGTCTCTCGCCAATAAAATATTGCACCCGTCACATTGTATATTTGGTATATTATTTTTATAATGTATACCGGTATACGATAGCAGCATAAAGTACATCCCTACTATATTATATTATATAAATAGCTACCTATAATGTTCGTATTTTTGTTTTTATTTTATTATCTCTCATAAATCACTGTGAAACTGTAATGGAAGAAAGGAAGGGGACGTATAAACAAAAATGAAATAATATACAATATTTTGAATCACGTGGTGTAATAGTGTCCATTTAATTGTACTGCAGATTTTTTAAATCAATACTTGTAATTTTTGACAGTAAACTAATGTTTTTTTTTCCATAATGGTCAAACTTTAAGAGTTTTATGAAAACATTTTTTAAATGACAACTCACTCAAGCTTTAAATGTTTTATTCTGATTCGTAATACTATTTTGAATTTTGTATGCGTTTCATCCAATATTGAATCAGTATTTAAAATGTTTTCACATAAGGAACCTAATTTAAACGAATATCGAAGTGTAGTGCACCTAAACACATTTTACCAGAGTGCTCGGTCACTTCACTTTTACGAAGACTATAATATTTCAACCCACACTATCATGATTATCGTTAAAATATTTTATTCAAAATATACTATCACAGCGAAGTGAGAATGATACGTTTAATTACTGATTACTTATTAGCAACGTATATTGTATTGTCTGTTATATAGTGGTCGGCAGTAGACACACCACCGCTTGGCCATCTATCGTCCGTCTAATCTGGTAATCATTTTAAATTGCATTGCCAGTAATTTTTCACCGTTTACTATATGCACAATGTGTACGTAAATATTGACAGTAGTCGTACATATAATAAAGGTAAACAGAGTACACACTCATACGTATGTATATAGGAATGATGATGTGTAAACCGCAACCCCCAATCCAACAAGAATTGATAACAGGTTGGCATGGTGTGGATTTTTATACATAATGTTAAATTAATAATAATAATTGATGTTTAGGAATTATTCATCGGTCATTTTAAATCTGCATATAATATCACTAAAGATTTCGACATCCATGTCAACCACAGTGCTTTTATAATTTGTTTACGAAAGACACTCACTAAATGTTTTGAACATTTTTAAATTGATATCTAAAAATACGTATAATTGATCCAAAATAGTTAACGAACTACTTATTTATAGACCCTTTAGAACCATTTAAAAATGTAAATTATAATATAGTCATATTTTAGACTAGGTATAAAACTATATTTTTTACTTCAAAATGTGTATTTAATAAAATATTAAAGTAATGGGGATACATTAGAGTACCTATAGTTGTTCCTTGTTTCTAAAATATTGTTTTAGGAAGACATTTATAAGCTCCGACTCTGTCCACAATTTCCTTTTTCTATGTAAAAATGTACGTAATTGTTTAACTATTTAGTTTACTGGCTAATTATAATAACTAGACGGCGTTTTTGTGCAAAATAAGAAACAGGTTTTTTACAGCGTGGTTGGTAGTTTTTGAGTTTCGAAAAGTAAAAGATCACTATTAAGTAGAAACTGGAGAAAGTATATCGTAGAAATCCAGAGTCATTCATATACCCAATATATTATTTCAACCGACTTTAAAGTAAATTTATAGTACGTTGGTAATTCGAAAAATAATTAAACCGTTAAAGTTTCCATGCCGATTTATCTTTGTCTCCTTTTATGTAAGCGGAAATTTGTAACGC